TTGGATTAGCTGCTTTCTTGACGCTCTTATTTTACCAGAGAACGCATGCATACAACGCACACCGCATGCATACAACGCACACCCAACACATCTCCATCAAAGTACACAAGGCGTTACTGAACCGAGGGCCCTAGAAATCCCGCAGGAACCCTCTGCACACTGCTAACTGCCCCTTCCAGCAGTACAAATGAGGGATTTAGTTCAGACATATATACATGTGTAAAGTGTGACGGGACTGACTTTGGGTGGGGGGCCCATGGAACACAGCCCCCTTTAGAGAGGTGGGGAGACCCCTGTCTCAGCTCCCCATATCCCTCTTATGTGCCTCTTAGGGGTACAGGGTGGAATGTCCTGATATTGTGCAGACATGTATAGGTGGGGGGTTGTCCATTGTTCACTACCATGTGTGGTGCATCCCATTGTTCTATTGTGTGTCTTGCTTGGGAGCACACTATTATGGGATGTATGTGTTTGTGTACTGACTTGGTGGGGGGGGGGGGTGTTTCTGGCAGCCCTTCCCCCTGATGGACGGCCTGCTGATGTGTTTCCTGTTCCTGGGTGTATTTCCCCGCCCCCCTGTGTATATAACTTGTATCTGTGTTAAAATAAAGCCGTCCGTTTCCTGTTTTAATATGAGGCTGGTCGTCTAGCCTTGTATGGTCAGCGGTGGTGTCCGTGGTCGGTGTTCGGACAGGGAAGCGGGAGTTTAACGGAAATACCCGAGTGCAGTCCGGGGTCCGGTTCCGTTACATAAAGCGATAGTAAACTGCAGCTTGAGAAAAAAAAATTAAAAATCCCCTGAAAGGTGAAAATCCCCTGAAAGGTGAAAATCCCCTGAAAGGTCATATCGTACTTAAAATGCAGCCCTCCGTCAGTGTGGTGTCCCCTCTGCAGAGGCTTCCATGTTACCTGGTCTTCCTCTCGGGTTCACGGGTCCTGGCTGCCTGACTGGCATGTGCACGGGGGTCTCGGGACACGGCACAGCGATGGCGTCCCTTCAGAGCGTATGGGCCAGTGGATAAAAAGTGCGATTATCTCCTCAGCGGCGCACGTTTAGGAGATCTTCATTTTACAGGTAAGCTTTATTATAGGTTATACAAAACAGAAAAAGTGCCAAACGACGTGTGTAGCCACCCATTGCCATGCGTTTCCCCGACTCGCCACTATCACGGTGTGGATTCTTAACCTCCCTGGCGGTCTGATTATGTCAGTATTTCTGTGCTCAAAGCGGTACTTTTTTTTCCATGGAAATATGTATTTTTTTTATTGTCGGCCTGTAATTCTCAGGAATAACTCCCTGAAATCTGTCCGGACAAGAGTCTAGTAAACATCCCGGGGAGGATAAAATTTGAAACACAAAATCATAAATTATAATTAATAATAAAAAATAATAATATAATAATAATAAATGTAATTCAATAATATAATCACCAAAAACACTGAAATGTGAAATAGAGCGCCAAGTTGGCCCATCGCTGAGCTCAGTCGCAGAATCGTTTTCAGTGTCTGATGAGGAATTTCCCCCACCAATCATTATCACTCAATTCTGCAAGTGGTTCTGATTTCCTATCGCTGTTCTCTAGCCGCTCTAAAACCGCGTCTGACCTAAAGGGACGCTTTTTGGACGCCATGGACGTTTCTCAGTTTCCAGGCAGAAAGGGCGGTAAAAATGCAGGCAGGGCGGGCGGACAAAGCACTCGGGACACAATGTATGTGAAATGGTTGGATACAGGAATGTTATACGATGTGATTTTAGTGATTTTTAGTGAATGTCACTTTTACAAATTTCAAATTTCACGCCAGTCCATCCCCCGTACGTCCCGACGTCGCAGGGACCAGAACCCGGAAGACGGATGCCGGCATCGGCTGGAGGACATTGCCGGGGCCACTGCAGGAGGGACATTACAGGGGACACTGCAGGGAGGAAATTACAGGGGACACTGCAGGGAGGACATTACAGGGGACACTGCAGGGAGGACATTACAGGGGACACTGCAGGGAGGACATTACAGGGGACACTGCCGGGAGGACGTTACAGGGGACACTGCAGGGAGGACGTTACAGGGGACACTGCCGGGAGGACATTACAGGGGACACTGCCGGGGAGGACATTACAGGGGACACTGCCGGGAGGACATTACAGGGGACACTGCCTGGAGGAAATTACAGGGGATACTGCCGGGAGGACATTACAGGGGACACTGCCTAGAAGACATTACAGGGGACACTGCAGGGAGGACATTACAGGGGACACTGCAGGGAGGACATTACAGGGTACAGGGGACACTACCGGGAGGACATTACAGGGGACACTGCCGGGAGGAAATTACAGGGGACACTGCCGGGAGGACATTACAGGGGACACTGCAGGAAGGACATTACAGGGGACACTGCAGGGAGGACATTACAGGGGACACTGCAGGGAGGACATTACAGGGGACACTGCAGGGAGGACATTAAAGGGGACACTGCAGGGAGGACATTACATGGGACACTGCCTGGAGGACATTACAGGGGACACTGCCGGGAGGACATTACAGGGGACACTGCCTGGAGGAAATTACAGGGGACACTGCCTGGAGGACATTACAGGGGACACTGCCTGGAGGAAATTACAGGGGACACTGCAGGGAGGACATTACAGGGGACACTGCAGGGGGGACATTACAGGGGACACTGCCTGGAGGACAATACAGGGGACACTGCCTGGAGGAAATTACAGGGGACACTGCAGGGAGGACATTACAGGGGACACTGCAGGGAGGACAATACAGGGGACACTGCCTGGAGGAAATTACAGGGGACACTGCAGGGAGGACATTACAGGGGACACTGCAGGGGGGACATCGTGGGAGCGCAGGACAAGGTAAGTGCAGAAGAGATCCTGGAGCAATGCTGCAGTGTATTCCCGAGTGTAGCTCGGGGGGGGGGTTACCGCTTGTGGTGCTGAAACTTTACCCCGAGCTACACTCGGGAATACCCGCCGGGGGGGGGGGGGGGGGGGGGGGGGTGGTAAACCAAACAACATATAAATAGACATTAGCAGCTGACAAGGGCGGACCTGCCACCTGCCGCGGTATATAGCGACTCCCATGCGGAGAGATAATTCACTATTATAGCGGATGCAGTTATATTTATTAAGATCACATGGATCATGGAAATGGTGGACATTTATGTCATGGTGATCACGTTGTCAGTAATGAAAGTAAAATAAAAAAACAAAAAACAAAATAAGTTCTGCGTTTTCACTTCGCTGCAAAAAGATCCAGAATAAAAGAGGTGAAGACTACTTCTGTATTCACTGTGGAAAGTCCATGAATGGAATCCAGATACATAAATCTCCAGTATTGTCAACCTGTATCTTCTGTCTCAGAGGAATCATTGTAATTCCTTCCAATTCAGCAAAGTGTGGTGATGGGAGATGAACAGCAGAAATCCTGCAGAATAAACATGCAATGAATACAAAAGTCCTCGATTATTAAATATCTGTCATGAACTTGTGATGTCAGGATAAATCCTATCAGAAAATCGTACGGCATTGATGGAGATGTAATGGGATAGAAGAATTATCCACCTTCCTAGCCCATCATCATCACTTGGATTGATTGAAGGAGATTCACAATGTACGGCTGGTTTCAATTGGCCGATATTACTAATATAAGTTATTTTTTTTTAAGTCCGCAAACGTGCAACTATAACGTAAAAACCCGTAAGTGTATCACAAAAAAAAGTGCAAGTGCAAAACACCACACGAAAAAGTGCACTTAGGGGTGTGCTGTGTCCTACCCCTAAAGGGGCTTGGACCGCTTACCCTGATCCCCCGGGGCACGAAGCTCCTGACAGGGGACAAGGTTCCCAATTGGTCCTCCTGGCCAAAAGGCCTGGTGGACCACCGTTCCTTGTGTCCAGCTGAAGCCAGACACCCAGTACTTGGTCAGGGGGCTCTCCCGAAGAAAGGCCCCCTAGGGATCAGGGGAGGAAGGAACCAAAAGGCCCCACATCCTCCCCCCCCTAGACTTCAGGGTAGGCCCGAGGACCCCCACCCTCCATCCTGTGAAAACACACGCATAAGTAACAGAAAAAGTGACAAACGTGGGAGGTGAAATAAATTAAATAAATAGAAAATAAAAAAGTGGTGGTACCGTGCCAAATTGTCCACAGACCAGGCCCTGAGGCCCGTAGCAAAAATTGCCCCGGACTTAGCCAAAAGGCCTGGTCCTTAGGGCGCTGTGCAAAAAGAGTGTAAAAACAGTGACCATGTGCCATCTTCACACTGTGGGGTCCCACACCCAGGTGTTACTAGTGGCACCCCTGAGAGCGTCTACTCAGGGGGCACCGAGTTTGCGGACTTTCTGCCTCCTCAGCCCCTGGCCAGACCAAGGTAGATCCGTCCAAATCAGGAGGTACTGGGTCTTCCCAGAGGAATTACTTCCAAGGCCCCAGAACGAATCATGGCGCTCCCCGGTTTCTGTCCCTCCGGTACTAGCCTTCCGGACCCCCATCATACCAGTGAGGGTACTATACAACAGCCCACCCCCACTGGACACTGATAAGAACAGATACTACACTTGATCTTAGCCAAAAGGCCGAGAAGTTATTAATAAATGTTAAAGTAACAAGTTCACATGAAATCATTGGTACTCCAAATGAAGGAAATAATGACCCCAATAGAGACCATAATGTTCCCATTGGTGAGATATATCTCTGTGTAAGTCCTCTGCGGTGATGACAGACGTGTTCTCCTTTACACCAAACAATTGTAGAACTATTATAGAGACATCATGATTGAGGCATTAAACGTTCAATAATTTGCCTAAAAAGGGCTCCAAAATGTCTCCTTTATGTAAGAGGAAGGCGGATCCTTTAAGGGATTCTTAGGACCGGTCGTCCCCGTTTTGCATATAGTAACATTAATGAGATAAAAGCTCAGTATTCACCTAAAAAAGGCCCCAAAATGTCTCTATATATAAGAGCGCCGGAATTCCCAATTGAGTCTCGGAACATATATATCCCGTGTTACTTAACCCCCCCGGCGGTATTCCTGAGTGTAGCTCGGGGTGAAGTTTCAGCACCACAAGCGGTGACCCCCCCGAGCTACACTCGGGAATACCCTGCAGCATTGCTCCGGGATCTCTTCTTCACTTACCTTGTCCTGCGCTCCCGCGATCTCCCCCCTGCAGTGTCCCCAGCAGTGTCCTCCGGTGGATGTCGGCATTCGTCTTCCGGGTTCCGTTCCCTGCGACGTCAGGACATATGAGGACGGAACTGGTGGGAAATTTGAAAATTGTAAAAGTGACATGTGACGGGAGTGACTTTGGGTGGGAGGCCATGGAACACAGCCCCCTTTGGAGAGGTGGGGAGACCCCTGTCTCAGTTCCCCATATCCCTCTTATGTGTAAGTCACCCTGTGCCGGTTAGGAGTACAGGGTGAAATGTCCTGATATTGTGTAGACATGTATAGGGGGGGGGTTGTTCATTGTTCACTGCCATGCAGCTTCATCCCATTGTTCTATTATGTGTCTTGCTTGGGAGCAAACTATTATGGGATATATGTGTTTGTACTGGCTTGGTGAGGGGGTGTTTCTGGCAGCCCTTCCCCCTGATGGGACTGCCTGCTGATGTGTTTCCTGTTCCTGGTTGTATTGCCCCGCCCCGTGTATATATCTTGTGTCTGTGTTAAAATAAAGCCGTCCACTTCCTGTTTTAAGAAGAGTCTGGTGCCGTCTTGTCTTGTATGGTCAGCGGTGGTGTCCCTGGATAATGTTCGGACAGGGAAGGGGGAGGATAACGGAAATACCCGAGTGCAGTCGGGGTCGGTTCTATTACATGACATTCACTAAATACACTAAAATCACAGAGTATAACATTCCTGTATCAAACCATTTCACATACATGTTGTCCCGAGTGCTTTGTCCTGTCCCCTGTCTGCATTTTGACCGTTCTTTCTGCCTGGAAACTGAGAAACGTCCATGGCGTCCAAAAAGCGTCCCTTTAGGTCAGACGCGGTTTTAGAGCGGCTAGAGAACAGCGATAGTAAATCAGAACCACTTGCAGAATTGAGTGATAATGATTGGTGGGGGAAATTCCTCATCAGACACTGAAAACGATTCTGCGACTTTACTCAGCGATGGGCCAACTTGGCGCTCTATTTCACATTTCAGTGGTTTTGGTTTCATTATATTATTGAATTACATTTATTATTATTATATTATTTTTTATGATTATTTATTAAATTATAATTTATGATTTCATGTTTCAAGTTTTATCCTCCCCGGGATGTTTACTAGACTCTTGTCCGGACAGATTTCAGTGAGTTATTCCTGAGAATTACAGCCTACAATAAAAAAAATACATATTTCCATGCAAAATAATGTACCGCTTTGAGCACAGAAATCTGACATCATCAGGCCACTAGGGAGGTTACATAGCAAGCTATGACTTAGCTCCAATCAAGGGTGACTTGCCACCGGTGGAAGTGATATAATGCCACTTGAATTTGTAATGAACTCCCGGGAGTCATAGATATTGGTGATTTTCCGTCTTGCCTCGTGTTTGTCCAAGATGGAGGCGTATGGCTTGCCTCTTTCTCCTCATGGACACCACAACATGGAAGGACGCAGAGCGTGATGATGTCACTACGTTGACTCATTTCATCCGCCAATCATCGCGGACTTCGTCAGAACTGGGAGGGGATAACTCTTCTCATTCCTTTTATAGTACACAATTTGCATATTTCCATCATTTTGTCGCCCTCTTGAAATGTCATCACTACATTGTTAGTCCAAACTGAATTATACAAATAAATATGAGTGGCGTTGGGCATTAAAGAACGGCTGTACATCAGACTGAGATTCCGACAGTATTATTAATAATTGAATTATCATTATTTAATACCATTCATTTTAACATTAGCAGTTAAATGCACTGAATACACAAACCTTCTAGAATCGGCACCATCACATGGTCATGCCTTCAGCATATTTTTATGTTATGTCCTTCATCTTCTGGAATGAGTGGAGGAAGCAGGACCTATCCAGTCTACAGATCAGACACAAACGGCGAGTCAGCAAGCCCAGCTTGGAACCTGGCACCATTGTTCTCGTGAAAGACTCTCAGTCATGGAGAAACGAAAGGCCTTTGGGCCTGATAACCCAAGTGTTTCCAAGCGAAGATGGGAAAGTCAGGAAAGTCGAGGTTAAGGTCATGAGCCTAAACTTTTCCTCAGACCTGTGTCTGACCTAATTGTACTACTCTCCCCAGAAGGACCGTCACAGTTGGTATCCATGGGATACCAGGCGGGGAGTGTCATGCCTTCAGCATATTTTTATGTTATGTCCTTCATCTTCTGGAATGAGTGGAGGAAGCAGGACCTATCCAGTCTACAGATCAGACACAAACGGCGAGTCAGCAAGCCCAGCTTGGAACCTGGCACCATTGTTCTCGTGAAAGACTCTCAGTCATGGAGAAACGAAAGGCCTTTGGGCCTGATAACCCAAGTGTTTCCAAGCGAAGATGGGAAAGTCAGGAAAGTCGAGGTTAAGGTCATGAGCCTAAACTTTTCCTCAGACCTGTGTCTGACCTAATTGTACTACTCTCCCCAGAAGGACCGTTACAGTTGGTATCCATGGGATACCAGGCGGGGAGTGTCATGCCTTCAGCATATTTTTATGTTATGTCCTTCATCTTCTGGAATGAGTGGAGGAAGCAGGACCTATCCAGTCTACAGATCAGACACAAACGGCGAGTCAGCAAGCCCAGCTTGGAACCTGGCACCATTGTTCTCGTGAAAGACTCTCAGTCATGGAGAAACGAAAGGCCTTTGGGCCTGATAACCCAAGTGTTTCCAAGCGAAGATGGGAAAGTCAGGAAAGTCGAGGTTAAGGTCATGAGCCTAAACTTTTCCTCAGACCTGTGTCTGACCTAATTGTACTACTCTCCCCAGAAGGACCGTTACAGTTGGTATCCATGGGATACCAGGCGGGGAGTGTCATGCCTTCAGCATATTTTTATGTCATGTCCTTTGTTAGTTTATTATGTTATGGAATGTAAAGTAAATTGTAATATCGCCATCTAGTGGCTCTTTTGTATAATTATAGTTTTTTATAGATTATTTTCTGTAGTTACACATATTACTGCTTAAACGCCACCGTAGTTTTCCCATCATCCTATGGGCTTCACCATGAGGTCTTAGAGACATTTCCTAGCAGCCATCTTACATCTCCTCCAGAGGACTCCACACTTATTCAGCTGCAGTTCTGTCGTCAGCCTATCGGAAACATCGCCGGTATGTTTAAAACCCTTTCCAGTTAGACTAGCGTGTCAGGACCGTGTCAGGACCGTGTGAGGACCGTGTGAGGACCGTGTATTGTGTATATTGTAGACACTGATTGAATGTCATTTCTTTCATTTGTAGTTTTATTTCCCTGCAATAAAAGTTGAAAAGAGGACGTAGTGCCTGCATCAGTGAGTTGTATGGGAGGAGGGAAGGAGGACGTAGCGCCTGCATCAGTGAGTTGTATGGGAGGAGGGAAGGAGGACGTAGCGCCTGCATCAGTGAGTTGTATGGGAGGAGGGAAGGAGGACGTAGCGCCTGCATCAGTGAGTTGTAAGGGAGGAGGGTTATCTGTCTGTCTAATTATACCTCAGCCACGTGTAGTGAGGGCAGAACAGCAAAACAGTGGCTCCAAACAGGCTTCCACATTGCAAGACATCATGTCAGAAAAAAAGTCAGAGCCATTAGAGACAAGGTCCCTAGTCTCAGTTAGCTCCAGGAGCTCAAGGAGGTCACTGAGCAGTGACATGGTCGCTATTGCCCGCGCAAAAGCAGAAGCTGCAAAGGTAAAGGTTACCTTTGCCGAAAAAGAGATGTAAATGAAACTAGAGATGCCACGCATAGAAGCTGTGTTTCAGGGCAGGGCTGAGGAACGGACAGGCAGGCCTAATAACAATGTAACGCACTGGCTGGCGACAACCACCACCCACAGACCGAAGTCCCTCAGGGCGCGGAGTCTAAGTCCCAGGCTGCCCTTCACCAGGGCCCCTGATGGTGGGGATGGACTTGATGCAGCCAGGAACCAGTTCGCGGCCCCCGAGACACCTCAGTTGCGGTAATGGCCGCCACCAATGGCGTGTAGCTGGTGGAAAGGACAATAGAGTAGTTGGGCAGGCAGGGTCGTCAACAACGGGACAAAACGGTACAGGACAGCAGACGAGAATCACAGGTCACGGGCCGGGATCAGCAACAGAAGGTCAGATCAAAGGAGAACACAAAGAATGGTCGAGTCACAAGCCGAGTCAGATTCCAGGAGAGTCACGAGAGTCAGAACAGAGTAATAGCAACACAAAGACACAAGACACAAGTGCAAAGAGCATGTGCAGGCCACAGGCTTATATGTCATCAGCCACACCCCTCTGGGGGATGGACCTCAGAGATCAGAAGGCATAAAAAGATTCCCACCATGCACAGCAGAATCCAAGATGGACGCCAGCACATGGAGTAACACAACCTCTGGGAAAAGGTAGAACCTTGACACTGTGTTAGAGACGCCACCCTTAGAAGCTGTGTTAGGGACGCCACGTATAGAAGCTGTGTTAGGGACACCACGTATAGAAGCTGTGTTAGAGACGCCACGTATAGAAGCTGTGTTAGGGACGCCACGTATAGAAGCTGTGTTAGGGACACCCACGTATAGAAGCTGTGTTAGAACGCCACGTATAGTGTTAGAGACGCCACGTATAGAAGCTGTGTTAGAGACGCCACGCATAGAAGCTGTGTTAGGGACGCCATGCACAGAAGCTGTGTTAGAGACGCCACCCATAGAAGCTGTGTTAGAGACGCCACGTATAGAAGCTGTGTTAGGGACGAAGCTGTGTTAGGGACGCCACGCACAGAAGCTGTGTTAGAGACGCCACGTATAGAAGCTGTGTTAGAGACGCCACCCATAGAAGCTGTGTTAGAGACGCCACGTATAGAAGCTGTGTTAGAGACGCCACCCATAGAAGCTGTGTTAGAGACGCCACGTATAGAAGCTGTGTTAGAGACGCCACGCACATAGAAGCTGTGTTAGAGACGCCACGTATAGAAGCTGTGTTAGAGACGCCACCCATAGAAGCTGTGTTAGAGACGCCACGTATAGAAGCTGTGTTAGAGACGCCACGTATAGAAGCTGTGTTAGGGACGCCACGCATAGAAGCTGTGTTAGAGACGCCACCCATAGAAGCTGTGTTAGAGACGCCACCCATAGAAGCTGTGTTAGAGACGCCACGTATAGAAGCTGTGTTAGAGACGCCACGTATAGAAGCTGTGTTAGAGACGCCACGCATAGAAGCTGTGTTAGAGACGCCACCCATAGAAGCTGTGTTAGAGACGCCACGCATAGAAGCTGTGTTAGGGACGCCACGCATAGAAGCTGTGTTAGAGACGCCACCCATAGAAGCTGTGTTAGAGACGCCACCCTTAGAAGCTGTGTTAGGGACGCCACGTATAGAAGCTGTGTTAGAGACGCCACCCATAGAAGCTGTGTTAGAGACGCCACCCATAGAAGCTGTGTTAGGGACGCCACGCACAGAAGCTGTATAGAAGCTGTGTTAGAGACGCCACGTATAGAAGCTGTGTTAGAGACGCCACGTATAGAAGCTGTGTTAGAGACGCACGCCATAGAAGCTGTGTTAGAGACGCCACGTATAGAAGCTGTGTTAGAGACGCCACCCATAGAAGCTGTGTTAGAGACGCCACGTATAGAAGCTGTGTTAGAGACGCCACGTATAGAAGCTGTGTTAGAGACGCCACGTATAGAAGCTGTGTTAGGGATGCCACGTATAGAAGCTGTGTTAGTAGAAGCTGTGTTAGAGATGCCACCCATAGAAGCGTGTTAGAGACGCCACCCAGAAGC